ATGCGTTTTGATGTGGATATACGATTAAATAAACGCGAAATGTTTACGCATAGTCAGAAATTATGCGGCCGATTGGATATGTGCTGGTTCATTTTGGACATGCGAGTGCAGTATCGCATAGCATTTCGTGAATTTTGGGGTGTAAAAGAAGTTATTTGACGGGGTGGTGTGAAAAAGAAAGAATAAATATATAATGGGGTGAAAAAGATTTTGACCATAAAAAATATAGTAGGATGTACAAAATAATAATTTATTTTTCATGAATTATTCAAATTTTAATATTTTTAATATTTAAATATATATTTTTTAATTAACTTGGGTGTATTAATTATACGAGTGTATTGCTACTAGATAATTTAGTTTCATTAAAGACCTGTTGGGACGGGCCGTGGTTTGGGTATTATTGGTGGCCCACCAGACATGCCCAGGTCCACTTTTGTGAGGTCATATTGATAAGGGTTCTAGTTGGACACAACTTAATTGATAAAAGGACACTCTTCACTACAAAAAAAACACTATAATTCCAACGAAAAATTCCAACGGTAAAAATTTTCGTGAAAATTCCAATGAATATTCCAAAAAACTTAATTTTATGTTGGAATAAGTGTTGGATAGTTGAGGAATTCCAACGGATTTTTTCCATTTGAATAACTGTAGGAATTTATTTCCATAGGATTTTCCGTTGGATATTTGCTATTCCAATGGCCATTTTTCCAACGGATTTTTATACATAGGAATATCCTTCGGAATAGCTACTCCAACGGAAATATCACGAAAAATTTCCGTTGGAATGTAAGAGTTTTTTTGTAGTGCTTTGTCTATTTTAAAAAATTAATTATTTTTTTTGCAATAGCTAATAACTAGTGCACTACATGATACTTGTTAAGTAAATATTGTATTTAAAATTAAATAGTAATAATAACAAAAACAATTTTAGTTTTTAAATTTTTATTGAAAAAAAATATATATTATTATTTTATTTAATGCACCATCACTTACACAATTTAACATCTTACATTATAATTTTTTTAATATATATTAGATAACAACATTGTAGCTAAGTTAGTTTAAATAATTTTATTTTTTTGAAGTAATGTTACTAAGTAATTTAATTTTAATTATAAATATAAATACAACTATTTATTTATTTGTATGTATAATATAGATGTCAACTCGAAACCCATCAAGATATGATTAATTTGATATATTATATATAAAAAGTTTATAAATAAAAAATTAATTAACTTTTTAAAATATTTATAATTAAAGTTAATAAACCTGTTATAATTTTTTTTAAAAAAAAAAAGAAAAAAAAATATACCTTATAAATGACGTCTACAATAGGAAATAGTAATAAAAATAATTAATGCTCTTAAAAGGAATTATTATATTCAGTATATTTATGAATATTCCAAGATAGTTACTTTTGAATTGGAAACAAATTAAAATTCATCCAAGCCAAACAACATAATCTAAAAAATTTACATACGATCACGAAGCATGCGAGTCTGTCACTTAAACTCAACACATTAGTGAATTATATATAGGTGGATAATATGGATAGAAGAAAAGTACAATGAAAACAGTATAACATAAACAATGGATGCACTTCCCATTCATGGCCCACCAACAAGTCAACTTTGAAGCACCATCTTAAATGCCACAACCAAAATATCAAATATTATGTGGAGTTACAAACTCTCCATATATAATGCTTTAGTTGATCTAATTTATGTGAGAACTGTGAGAACCGCTATTTTTAATAGTATGTAGTGCTATGATGATTGTGTTTTAGTGCTATTTTTAATTAGGGTATATTTTATTAAAAATAGCAATAAAATTTTTATTAACATTTGTAGAAATAATAGCACAATGCAATATTAAAAATAGCATCAAATATGGTTTTCACGATTCTCACATCAGACATAGTTTTTATTTGAATCAACCCCTATATATATATATGTGTGTGTGTGTGTGTGCGCGCGCGCGCGTGCATGTTGTATCTACAAGGTACAATTTTATTAAGGTGATACCATAGCAAGAAGAAAGATGGAAATACTACTGACTTTGTAATATACTGTTGGAAAGATATATGCAAGAATTGTTACAAATATTCACAACTCAGATTGATCATGAAGCATATATACATGGATAGTAGCCTGAAAATGTAATCAGCAGGCCTACACTTTTGGGTGGTGAAAAAAATGAGGCACTAGATTGAATGACATGAGACAATCTGTGGTGATGATGATGATGATGATGGTATTTTTCGGCATCGACCTTGTTGACAAAAGGCTGGTCGAGAAGCATATCGGGTTTCCACCTGGCCGTTGGATCCTTCACCAAACACTTTGTGAGAAAGTCTTTAGCCTCTTTGGATATTATGTTGTTTGTCGGAATCCGGGGAATCTGGTCACTGCACCCAATCTTGAAGAGAACATCCTTTGGGTGGGCTTTGGTATCGAAAGTCCATGGTGGTTTTCCGGTGAGCATGTGTAGAATCGAGCAGCCCAAGGCGCCCAAACATTCGAATCGGGCACGTACTTCTGCTGGGCTATCGACTCTGGGGTCGCATACATAACCGCGCCCCTGATCATTGCAGCTACTATTTTCGTTGAAGCTCTTGCAGCAGCTCCCAAAATCGGCGAGCTTCTCGTCTTGGCCGACTAGCAACACGTTGTGGGGCTTCACATCACAGTGAAAGTAGCCGGACTTGTGGATGTGAAGGAGCGCCGAGAGTTTGGACTCGTGCAGCGGCTGACGGTGATTATCGGAAGCCTTATATTATAATAAGTTTTTCAACTTATATCATATACCTACATTAAACATAAATATATCATATACCTACGTTAAACATAAATATATTAAATGAAATGATTTTATTTTTAAATTAATATTAATAAATAATTTTATTATTATTCTTATTATTAACATAAATTTAATTTATTTATTATATACATACAATATGAATATCAAATCGAAACTCATCAATAGATGATTAATTTAATATATTACATATGTAAAACCGATAAGATATACAAAAGTTGTCTACTTTAAAATACATTTACAGTTTAATGATTATAATAGAAAATGGAATTAATACATCTAAAATGACTATAAAAAATTATCATATTTACAGATAATATGAACCTAATTATTTTTGAATTGAAGTAATTTAATATATCAAAAGCCAAATAATGAAGCATCAAGTTTGGACGCATAAGATCCCGAAGCATGCGACTCTGCCTTTTAGGCTTACGACGTTCGAGATTTATATATAAACGCGTCGTTTACTTTGCGGGATGGAACTAGATAATAAAAACTGTCACCATTTGTACAGTGTTTACTTTCCTAGATTATGATGAGATTGATCTCACTTGGCGCACATGTGGACTGCGGGCCCCACTGCTTATCAAATATTGGACGATTAATTAGTCCTGCCCCCCACCCAGGATTTTTTTATCCCAATATTTCCTTTACATATTTGCAGGCCCCACTGTTTCAGACGCTCATCATAAAAAGTAAACGTGGGACAAATTGCTGACCTGTAAAGTATCTTTGATTAATTTAATTTGTCTAAATGCATCACATAAAGTAAACGACCCCAAAGGGAATTTATTCCATCAGTTTTGCTATGAAGCCAACAATTGGTTCCATAGTGGAGTCAACCTTCTATATACAACAAGTAAATCATACCATATTAATAAAATTATTAGTATTTATTTAAGGAAAATGCTACAAGTACATAATAAATGTACATAACACTCACACGGAGTGGAGTCTACTTGATTTTTTATTTTTGGTGGGTCACACTCAGTATTAGTGTTATGTAGTATGTACACTGCTAAGTACAACATTATATACCTATAGCATTTTTCTTTATTTAAATACTAGTACAACACCCGTGTATTACACGGGTGCTTGCTAATTTTTTTCTTAAAATTTAAAATTAATGAGAAAAAGTAGTTTGAAAATTTAAATACCTTTTATAAGAATATATATATATATATATATTAAAATATATATATATATATATATATTTATTATGATACTTTTTATTTGTGCGACTTACTTGTGTTATATTATACTAATTTTTTAACTTACACTATAATTAAATATAAATATATCAATTGAAAAATAATTTTATTTTTCTAATAAATTTTAATAAATATTATTATTTTTTATTATTATAAAAATAAATATAATTTATTTATTTTATATATACAATATGGATGTCAAATCGAAGATCATCAAAAGATGATTAATTTGATATATTATATATGCAATACCTATAAGAAATACAAAAGTTATCTACTTTTAAAATACATTTATAATTCAATAGCTTATTGAAGGAAGCAAATCAAAATTTAGGGATATATTAGTCACATAGTGTCTCACTATGTAAAATTATAAATAATTAAAGGGTTATATTAGTAAAAGTGATATTAAAATACCTAAGTTAGCTATAATTTTTATTGAATACCCGAACCTAGATTATTAATTATTAATATATTAATATTATTTGTCCAAACCTAATTACGAAACATGATTCTTCGCCAAATAAGATTCCGAAGCACCAGAAGCAGCCACGTAGGCTCAACGCATTCTGGAATTATATAAAGGGAGGATGGTATTAAAAGGCAATTATTAAAGTAAACCATACCTAATTCTGTTGTTATAATGCATTTTTAAAGATCAAAATTAACTTTTAATAACTAATTCATTTTTTTAAAAGTGGTCACGGTTTCCATTTAATGTGATTTTTTTTTCCAAACAATCATCTTCTTTTCTAGCTTTTTTTCTTCTCAATTTTTTACTTCCATCCAAGACAACACATACACACACACATTCTTATTCGAGTCATACTAATAAGATGGTTGACTCATCATACTTTTGAGTATGATGAGTTAATCTCCTATATATATTAATCATAAATCTTATTTTCAAAAGTGCATGCTCATATCAAAGGATTTCGGGACATAAACACGTTCCTAATAGAAATAAACAAAAGTGCATGCTCATATCGAAATACTCTTTTAGCTGATCTGCTATAGTTTGTTTACCATGGTGGTCCCCCCCGGACCGCCCGGATCCCACGAGTGAATCGAAAGTTAGACCTACATTGGATCTAAAACTATAGCAACATTGGTGATGACCAATTGACCATATTATGCGGAATCTTCAACTAGGGGGCGTCTGGTACCTAACTCTGCTTGGTTCTCTTGCTACCACACAACGAGAATATGTCGCTTTGCATGCTTTCCGTCGTCTTAACTTACAGGTTCAGTTAGAGAATATGTCCCCAGAGCTGATAA